CTGTCTTAACTCCTTTATCAGGTTCTTGGAAAAAAGAAACTCCCGTTTGTATTTTCCACAGTGCTTGGTGTAACTCTTGATACATAGTAGATGTTCAATAATTATCTCTTGAATGAATGAATTAAAGTGATTGACAAATGAAGAGAAAATTTAGATTTTATGCTTTATTAGCGAGGTTCTTTTTTTGTTGGTTCTCATAGAAATTTTCAGAACTGCTAAAATGAGAGTGGCTCACGATGGAATCTCCAAATGTGATTCTCAGGATAGGTCTGGAATAGTAATAGGTAAAACAACCCACTTGTACATGCATGGAAAGCATTCCAAAATGTCACAGATCCTGGATTTAAAAACAATGACGATGACATTAATATGGAAAACACATGCCGTAATTAAGGATGTATATGCATGTGTGCATGCACTGTGTTATACTTTTCTATTGGATTGATATAGCTACTTACCAAAGAATAGAACCATTTGTGACACAGAATGTTAAGATAATTTGTCAGTAACACATGCATTGCTACAAGTTATAACAGTAAAAAAAAAATTATTATAAATTAAGGCACCCATGGGTCATTCAACTCAGCTGGCAATACACCTGAACAAAAAAAAGGAGTGCTAGACTTAATCTCCAAGCCTGTCATTTATTTCTTTCGCACAAAAAGTATGGGACACAGGTGGTCGGAAGTCAAAGATCATACTCTGCTTGAACGCTTCATAAGGCACAGTACAAATGTATGAGACCTGCTGGGTGAAATCAAAAAGTCACTGGAATGGGGTGCAATTTTAGTGACCCAGGTCAAAGGTCATACTGCTTTTGGTGTTATACAAATGTTTGACAGATTAAATACCCACCTCCTAGGGATAACAAATAGGCCATGGAGCTAAAAGTATTCATAAGCATTAAAGTTTCATTCAGATTTCTCCTTATGAAGGATGTAGGTCATGTAAGATTAGTAATACGGTTATAATAATTTTTCCCATTGTTGAAAAATTATACCCTGGCCGATGTCTCTGAGTGTAATTGCAGACCTAGAAAAAATAAAAAAAAAAAGTGAAGAAGAAAGGCAACAGTGACTAGAAATATTGAAGATTAGAAAAAGAAAAAAGAGAGAAAAAAAGCAACAGTTATGTCCAGACCCTTATTTTCTTTAAATATAGCAATACCTGTTAAAGCATTTTTTCATGTTTTGTCACTTTTTTTTCTTTCATGTAGGGTCATTTTATCACTAATCCATGTAAATTATTTTGCTGATATTCAGCATTTTGTATAGTTCAATACCTCTAGGAAATGAATATGCTTATAAAGATATGTTTGGCAAGTAATCTGGAGGTGTTACCAGGACAATGAAATAAGTAATGTATGGAAAAGTGCTTTATGCATATTGTAAAATGCTCTGAAATTAAGCCAGTTTATTATTTAACACAGTTATTCTTTATCCTTATTTTAACTCTTGGAAAAATATGTACACAAAATTAGTTTCTTCTGTAATGTGCTTCTACATTTTGTAGTACTCTTTTACAATTTGAAAATAATAATTTACCTTCCTTTGTAGTTTTATCTAAATAAATGGTGCAAATTATGGTGACTCAGAATCACCTGGAGGGCTTGTTAAAACACAGATTGCTGGGCCCCACCCTACCGTTTCTGATTCATTAGGTCTGGGTGGGTCTAAGAACCAGTATTTCTAACAAGTGCCTGCAAGATACTGATGATTGTAGGCTAGAGACTGTACTTTGGAAACCACTGATTTAAGTATTGTGCCATCATAGTAGATTAAAAAGTGAAATAACTCATTTAATCTAGATCTGTTCAAATATGATAATATTTTATGTATTTTATGACTTGTTGATGTAATGGTAATACTTTATTTAGTTTTCACTTTCATCTGGATACTTTATAAAAATGTAGATTCAGAATTTGTCTTTCTTCCCAAGCTACGTATCAACGTCAACATTGTTTTCTTTAATAGTCACTCTTAGAAGATCCCAAAACCATTTCTTAAAGAGTATTAATTAATTTACTTGAAACCTGTTAAGTTCACTATCAGTATCATTGTCATTTTTCTTTGACATAGAGATAATGATGATCACATTTCTACCAGAAAGAATGTGACTAGAAATTCCAGGCATTTATTTTATGAATTGAATCATGTTTGTCTGCCTATACACTTACATATTAACTGCTGTTTCAGGATTTTACTATGTGTAACTTCTTTTTTTATCGTAAATGGTAAAAGCTACCTCTGTCTCCAATGTTTAATTTTATGTTTGTTATTATCTGCTTTTATTCTCAGAGGGCAATGCCTTTGTCACATAGATTTTATATCTTTTAACAGTAATCCAAAGTTACTCTGGTTTTAACATATAACACGGAAAGGGCTTAGAGAAATTATGCCAAAATAATTTACCTGTTATATTCACCTGTAGAGGTGAGATGCATTGAATCTGTTGTCAATAGTAGACTTTGTATACCAAAATAACTTACTTATGTTGTTTTATACCAAGAGGTACAAAGAAAGATGGTGGACATGTAGGGATATAGGATGTGAATGTGTAGAGGACTATGTGCTCGCAAATGAGACGTTCCTGATAAGTCCTGCTCTTGCAAAGGAAGCAGGGCGTTCCCGATAAGTCTTGCTCTCGCAAACAAAGCAGGGCGTTCCCGATAAGTCCTGCTCTTGCAAACGAAGCAGGGCGTTGGGGGCTTGTTTATGTGTAAACATCTTGAAAATCCAGAAAGTCAGGGAAAGGTCAGAAAAACAACAATGTGTCTTGTGACTTGGCAACATTCCACAAACGACTGTATAAAATAAAGCAGAGCGCGCCATTCGAGGCGGCCGCCATGTTTGTCTTGTCTTGTGTTGTCTTGTGTGTTCATTCCTTTGTTTAGGAAACATGTGGACCCCAACAGAATGAGACACAAAACCCTTAGCAACATATCAAAATGCTACAGGGAGTGTTAATTTTGGTTTAGTTTGCTATATTGATTTTTCCCTAATTTTCTCCTCTGATAATGTAGTTTAGTTTGAGGCCATTTCTCTGTTGATTTTTTTTTTTCTAGGTCAGGAGATAGAGGAAAGCACATAATAGTCTTGGTGCCCATATTTTTCCAATTTATAGTAATTCTCACCACACCTCATTGTAGATGAAAACTTCAAGTTATTTCAATAATCATTTCAATAATTATTCATGTTTAAGATATTGATTTGTTAAATTCTTCTAGGCTTTTTACTTACACACACACACACACACACACACACACACACACGCACAGTGCTTTCAGTCTTAAAAAAAGCAGGAAAGGATGACTAACAGACAAGTCAAGAAATATGGTAAATATAAAAATATATGCTAAAAGCACATTGTGCTTAGCTTTGCTTTTTAATAATTCCTTGGAAACCTAGGCGTGACATCCATTATTAGATTTTCAAATTTATTTTTATTTTTAGCATAATATATATTTATGTAAAATATAGAGATAATACAAGTGAATATTCATATTGAGAATAAAATAAAAATATTGAGAATAGAGGCACTATAGAGAAAGCATTATGTAGGATATTGGTGTGAGTATGAGAAGTGGTAAAAACAAAGCAAAACACAAAAAGTGCAGATGCATTGTACATTTTTTTCTCTTCTGAAATGTTATCAAACATGATAATTATGACCACAAATATGATAAAAATGTTACTCTCTGAAAATGCTATCAAATAAGACTCTGTATGCCTCAGTTCCCTCAGGCTCACTTTCTTCTGTAAAATTCACATTCAGACCCTTATCCGTCCTGTTGAAACTGTGGGTGCAATCCTATTCTACAACCGTCTGTTAACAAATCGACTGACTTCATTTGAAGACTGAATTTTTAAATAAATCGTTTTATTTCATCTTTGCTACTGCCATGACCATGAATTTATTAAAATCCTCTCCCAAATGATTTAAATTTCAGACTTATCTAGTATATTGAAAAAAGTTTTTTCCCATTAAAAATTATGAGAGAGGAGGAGGAGAGTGATAATGATGTGCAGAGGTCTATGTCTGTGTTTGTGTGTTTGTCTGCATGTGTATGTTTGAATGCATGTAATCAGTGATACATTCAGTACTATTGGGAGAAAGTCAGGGGAAAATTGCTTGTGAGGAAATTCCCATCGTCTCATGGGAAAGTCTATCCTGAAAACAAATGATCCTTCTTTACCAGTACTATTTATTGATACTGTGTATTTATATTTAACTTTAATATACATCCATTGTTTACATTATAGTTTATTTCTTACTCAGTCTTTTTATGCATTAGTCTATAAGCCCTGATTCATTTTCTTCAGCAAAATAATCAAATTCCACATTATACATATAGGACATATAGGGTCTAGGCAATAAATTTTGACTAACTAAATTGTTATCCCATTTCAGTCTTGCAGTTGTATTCTCTAAAGGGGAAAAGAGTTTGGTATTATATAATGAGATCTCTTTTCCAGGCCAAAGAAATATGTAGATGGGATAAAGTACATGATAGTAATAAATAACATATAAAAATAAATGCAATATTTGGTAATATTCGCACCAAGAAATTTCTCTGGATTCACTCATTTTCCTACTTCCAGTCATTTAAGCAAATGGAGATTTTTTTAAAAAAAAACTGAAAGTTGATGTTAAAACTGACTCAAAAATAGTGTAATGGTATCCAGGTTAAATATTCCTAAGACAAAATAGGGCATTGTTTTATTCAGCACATTACTTAAGATATAGCAACTTCTAATAAGGAAGTTCCCTGTGAATGGGTAAAAGAGATTTTTCAGTTGATGTGCTTTCATAAATCAGCTCTGCAGACATTGAGTTATACTTTTCAAAATTAGGCTAAGAAAATGAAATCTTCCTAAGTAGTAAGTATATTGATTATTGTTTATCTTATGTAATTTTCTGAAACTGCCAAATAGGGTTTAAATATCTGAATCTTTAATTATCTTTTCCTATTTTTCTGCTTTTATGGGTTGTTGCAAAAGAATGCATGCTTTGCAGAGCTGAGGAAAACAGAATTACAGTCACACCAAGCAAGGGCCAAGATGTGGTCAAAACTTTGAGTCAGCACAGCCTGGAGTTGTCTATCTCCAGTTGAATTGTTATGTATGGGATGCATTTTCAAAAGGTAATTGTCTCCTGTTGGTGGTCAGCAAAGCATGGTTCATTTTTTTTTCCAGAAAGATAAAGTTTATAATACTTATATTTCTTTAATCTATAGGATAAAGTTGAAGACATGGTCTATTTACAAACTATGAAATTAACCTGGAGTTATATAAACATGCCAAAAGAGGAAAGAGATTTACACTGGAGCTGTAGTGAGACATTCAGGTTTGGAAGCAGAAACAGAATTAATGCAGAGAGAAGATGCCATTGATAGAGCAGTCCACATCAGGAAATCTCTGCTCTTGACAGCAAGAAAAGTTCTCTAAGTAAGTAAAGACACTTATCCTATGTGATCCATTTTCTTTGTGTTTTCCACGTGTCCTGGTTCTGTAGTTTTGGGTTCCTATGAGACCCGGTCCCATTTTGGCACTTACTGTTTTCCTCCTATTCACACAGATTCTGATGTGAAATTGTACATTACTTGGAGTAATTTAATGAAGATTCTTCCTTGCCACTAAAAGACCATAACTACAGCAAAGTTCATTTACTTTATTATCAGTGGTTGCTTTTTTAAAAAAGGTGTCAATATTCTGCCTAAGTGCACTTTATTTTAACTTCAATATACTGATAGATTAGTATATTAGGGATATACTAATGTACTAATTAGTATATAGTATATAATAGGGATATACTAATAGATTAGTGAACAAAAACAAATACAAATCCCCTTTTAGAATTATAGTTTATGAATTTATTTTAAATTGTCTTCAAATTTAAAACATAATAATTACTGATTACAACATTGGATCAGTCATGCGAATATTCTGTGTCTCTACATTAACTTTGCAAAGTTTGATTGAAATATCTTATTATAAACGGCTGAATCATTTACACTAACCTGATGAGGCGAATTGTTACGAATGAGCAAATAACAGACCACAAATAAAGGAACATTAATGTTGATAAAGGAAGGGTTAAACTAAGTAGTCATTGCATAAGGTATGTAAACCCAGAGTTAAGTGAATTGCCCAAGGAGCTTGGCTGAACATCTCTAACTAAAAGGTCTTCTATTTCAGTCCTAGCACCAGAGCTTGTTAATAAGGCCATCAAGGCCCTGAACGCTGAGGGGTGCAATAACATGCAATCTATGGATCAGAAGGGGGAGAAACAGGTCCTTTCTATCTCCTTTCAGGAGCTTTTAATGTAATTGGATTTAGATTCATACTTACAATCCCTTCACCATATGAAAGCTGCCTGGAAGAGCAATTAAGTGTATGGGCTCTCCTATCTGCTTTAGTGGGGAACAAGCTCTGCCATAGAGTGATTTTGTAACTTTAAAACTGTACTTCCTTTTCCATGTCTAAAAAACATGCAGCCAAGAAATAAGCCAATTTGAAGAGTTAAGTAAGAATCAAGAGAGGGAAACGTAAATGTAAATTATCTGATGCATGATAAGCACTTACTAAGTAACTAATATGAGAAAAATATGCAATATATATTCATATTTTTATATATATATATATAATCTATCTAGTTATTCACCCTCCTATTTATCCATCTGCCTTCTACCTCATTACAAAAGACATTCAATGTGGACAAAACCATTCCACCAAAAGAAAGCACGTAAGTCTTTTTGGAAGTTATTAGAGTGCTCAGGAGTTTTTAGCAACTACCTGAATTTGATGCTATATGTCCTGGACTTTGCTCTAAAAATGACATATACATGACTTCATGTGAAAGCCATGCAGAGATAAAAACACATACTTGAAAACTGGAATAAATTAGAATTTCTTCTCCCTGTGTAATGTCTTCTTAGTGGAGCGGAGCACGTTTTTTTGAGCAACAGCACCCAGGTTTCTAAGACATCAAACTAACTGCTTCATTAGGCCTGTTCTTCTCATGGTAATTTTGGCAGGATTAATATGCCATGAGCTACTCAGGAAGGAAAGTAAAATGAGAAAGTACAAAAATAGCTACTTTAAAGTGTGGCTTAAGAAAGAGGTAAAGCCCAATAAACTTGGAGGTTAGTGAGAAGTGGGCAGATAATTCTGCTTGGTGAAAATCATCATTGACTGCAATTCCAAATAGGCATCATGAAATTGTGCCTAGATACATGAGTTTAGATATTGAATAAAGACATAAAATATTGAAAGAAGCAGCAAAATTCCAAAAAAAATTTGTGGATGTAATGTACTGTTATTTTGGGGGGTTTTACATGTTTTTCATGTTATTAGCAACCCCAGATGAAGGATTTGCCTCAGAGCCACACTATAAATCATCATCAGAGTTCATTGTGATAGTTTCTATTTATTAATGCCTGTGATCCATACTGAAATGTCTTTCTGTGCTTACTTACTCATCCTTCTTTGCATTCCACTGATCATCAATCACAAAAGCAGCTTGGCCATTTCTCTCTGTCTTGCCTCAGTGAACTCCTACTTTCCTTGATTGTTAACCCCTTGCTGGAATGTACATGGCCTGTATGCCTCTCTGGGCTTCTATTCAACTCTCCCAATGGGCCTCTCTTCCTGTCACTGAGCTGCAAGGCAATATTTTCCATCTGTTGAATGAAGAGCATGACACAGGCAGTTTGATATGGTTTCAAAAACCACAGCAAACCAGTGATGCACAACTCACTTTTATTCCACAAGCCTGTGGGAGCCCAAAAGGATGAGAGGCCTTTCTGCTAGGCTGAACACAGAGCTTGGCATTCAGAAACAAATATTCCTCCCTGAAACACTCAATATGCTTCATATTCAAGCCAGAAACATTGTGCGTTGGAATAATCTAAAGATGAATCTAGTCGGAAGTTATCTTGAAATGTGTGAGCAAGCTTCTCTTTCATACACCAGCTGTTTTCTTTCCATCAAGTGTTTGCTGGGTGGGGGATCAGCCTGTGTTTTTTTAATGCAGTAGCAAGAATGTTTTGTGTGTTCTGAAAGAACCTATGATGCCTTTCAATGTAGAAGGGAGAAGAAATGGTTCAACATGAGTTCAGGGAAATTTTGGAGTCTCTAATAATATCACATCCTCAAATTTGGAAGCATATTTTCTTTATAAAGCATGTTGAAAAATTATTTCATGGTTACTAGTTCCCAATGTCAGACTGTGACAGAATTGTTAAAATAGCATTGCTATGGGTATAAAAGAAAGTTCACAAGCATTTTGTAATGTGCCACAGGGTTTATAATACATTTTAACATATATGATTTCCTATTTTATCCACTCAAGGAAAAAATTGTATTGTTGGATATTTTTAATAGGTTCGTTAGCCTTAAAAATCAAAATAAGGAAAATAATCTTGGTAATGGGAAAATGTTGTTTAATGGTAGTCATTTAATTAAAACATGTTAATTGCTATAAGCATATCAAGAATCAAATTATAATTTCTGGTGTGGTTTTCAGAACTCTTATGAAGTCCCAGACTTACTCTTGTCAAATAGTATAATTCATCCATGTTAAAATATCCAAATATTCTAGCATCTCGTCTGCTGTTCTGTCTGTCTGAAATGCCCTTTCCTATCAATTTTCTATATTACAATTCTAACCACTACTAAAGATACTTTCTAAAAACTAATTTTAAAGATAGTTACGTTTTTAAAATCTTCCTTAGCTAACTGGTTCTTTCCAATCCTTGCCTCTAGAAATAATCACATTTTAATTATTTGATGGTTTGAATAGCACTTACATATCACTTTTGACAATGCAGTTTGAAACTTCAGTGATAGCTACCTCTTATTGAACATGCACTGCTTATAGACTCTGCTAGATGTGCTACTATCCCTACAATTTTTTTGAGACTACTATAATATTATCATCTCCATTTACAAATAAGGAAACAGAGTTCAAGAAACATTAATAAATTTGCTCAAGTTTACTTAATACTCATTGGTGAAACTGGGATTTGAATCCAAATGTACCTGACTAAAAAGCATGTTTTTTTCCTTTTTCTTTTCTAGTTTTGTGGATGTTTTTTATGGACATGCACTGATAGCAGGGCCTGATCTTAATCCTTCTAGATTTCAACTCATCTACTTCTGCTCTTTAGTTTAATGAGATCCCATTTGTCAATTTTGGCTTTTGCTGCCGTTGCTTTTGGTGTTTTAGACATGAAGTCTTTGCCCATGCCTATGTCCTGAATGGTATTTTTCTTTATTTTAGAACACTGAAGCATGTTTTATTAAAAAATTAGTTCCTAGAATGTATTTATTCTTGTAACCATTGTTTTTTTCTATGAGACAATGGAACATCCATAAAAAGTAAACTAGTTTTAAATAGCAAAGATAATCCTGTTGTTTTAGGCATTAAATTCTCTAATTACTTAGTAATATTTGATTGAATGCCATATATTGAAAATGTCGTTACTTGCCATACTTCTTGGCTGTATCTACAATACTAGTAGGAAAAGGTGGAATCAGCTGGGAACTATAAAAAATTAAAAAGAAAAAATTTTTGATTCTTTATATTTTCAAAAAGAATGCAGTGGTCAACTCCATTCTGGGAGATGAATAGGTTATTATTAAGGAATGGACAAATCAAGCATATGATTAGCAGTTTATATTCATTTAATATAAATTTGTATTAACTTAGAAAACATAAATCTCATATATGCACTTAGTAATAGATTCCCTTGAAGAAATGTAAAATAACTAAATACAAAATTGGAGTGCTTTCACTTTAAAATCACTTTAAGTGCCTATTCTTATTCTCCTCAAAGTCATAAGTTTGCTAAGTGTCTGTTTTAGTTTTGATTTCCACCAAAATGCTTTTTCATTTAGTAAGTATCTATATATTTTTGGGAAATTTTGCTTTGATACAAATGTATTCACATAAAAATTTAATAAACATAGCTATGAAGTAAGCACTACACTTTTTATGGGCATACTTGGCTAAATAATCATGTGATCTTTATCCTAAAGAAATTTTTATTAAACTAGGTAAAACAGTTAAGTGAATACATTTTTTTTTATAATATAGTGTGATGATAGCTATGATAAAGGCATTTATGGGATTCTAGGTGAGCACAGAATGGGACAATAAAATCATGTAGAGTGGTGATAAAAGTATAATTAGAATAGAGATTTTAAGAAGCAAATAACAGGATATTATACTAGAGTGTTAGGTAGGCACCTGATTACAAATTGCCTTGTTGGTTAAATTAAAGGGCTTGAATTTTAACTAGAAAACTAAGGAAAATGTATTATATAATTTTAATTAGAAGTAATATGCAAACAGAAATGCACTTTTGAAAATTTACTCCCATCCTGGCACATGAGAATGAGATTGGAAGGCAGGAGACCAGTTAGGAGGTTGCTGCTATAGGTTAAGTGTGGATTTCTGGGCTTATATTGTAGTTTATAGTGATAACAAATGTATGGAGGAGTTGATATGCTTGACAGATCCTTAAAGTATAAATTCATAAATCCTTGGTAAGGTGGATGGTGAGGAAGAGAGAAAATATATTAGCACACCTTCATTTTCCCCAAATTGTTCTTCCTTAAAAATAGAAAGACACTGGCTGGGTGCAGTAGCTAGCACTTACAATCCCAGCACTTTGGGAGGCCGAGGTGGGCAGATCACTTGAGGCCAGGAGTTCGAGACCTGCTGGGCAACATGGCAAAAACCTGTCCCTACTAAAAATAAAAAAGTTATCCGGGCATGATGGAGCATGCCTGTATTCCCAGCTACTCAGGAGGATATGACATGAGAATTGTTTGAAGCCAGAAGGCAGAGGTTGTAGTGAGCTGAGATTGCGCCATTGCATTTCAGCCTGGGTGACAGCGCAAGACTCTGAAAAAAAAAAAAAAAAAAAAGGAAAGAAAGAAAGACAGACAGATATTTACATATTTGACAAGAATAATTGAAAATTGCTGTATATATTATATTTAAACGAAATTGTAGATAACACTCAATATTTGAGTATGTATGTATTTATTTACATGACTTTTAGTGCAAACATTATAAATAGTTAAGAACGCTGTATTATTTTCCTGTGGTTGCTTCAAAAATCACCACATACTTGGTGAATTAAAACAACAGAAATTTATTCTTTTATAGCTCTGGAGTCAGGAATTATGAAATCAGTATCAGTGGGCTGAAATTGAGGTGTCAGCAGTGCCATGCTCCCTCTTAAGGAGCTAAGGGAGAATTCATTTCTTGCATCTTCCAGCTTCTGAATGTTGCTGGTGTTTATTGGTTTCTGCCCACATTACTTCAGTCTTGAAAGCCAACCATCTGAAAATCTGTCTTCACTTTGCCTTCACATTACCTCCTCTTCGTGGGTAATATGTTTCCCTGCCTTTCTTTATAATGACACTTGTAATTGCATTTAGGTCCCACCTGACATCCCAGAATAATCTCCCCATCTGAAGATATTTAAAGGTTTCAGGGATTAGGTCCTAATATTTATTTTGACAGTGGTTGGGGGGAAAGCATTAACCACTTACTAAAATGCCTGTTGTTATATAGTTAAAAGAGTAAAATATCTAGACTAGCTATTTTCTTTGCATCAAACATCAAGTATACACTGATAGGATTTGAAAAGAAAGAGCTTGAATTTTTTGGAATACTGTATGAATCCACTTATAAAAAGCCCCTAGAAGAAGCAAATTCATAGAGACAGAGAGTAGAATAGAGGTTATCAAAGGTCGGCGAAAGAGGATATGGAGAGTTATAATTTATTGGTTACAGAGTTTCTGTTTGAAATGGTGAAAATGTTTTGGAAATGGATGGTGTTTATGGTTGCACAACATTGTGAAAGTACATTTGCCACTGAATTATACACTTAAAAATGGTTTAAATTATAAATTTCATGTTATTTGTATTTTACCACAATTTTTAAAAAGCTTATAGAAAAAATTATGTTTTGCCTTGTTAAGAAAAAGCTGACCCAAATGTCAGAACACAGAGGCATAGTCTTAAGATCAAAAATGACTCAACTCTTTCTCTGCCCTTTGGCTCAGTCTATAAAACCATCAACATTACCCCAAATGGATATTTTGAGAGTTGATTTTGTGTAAGAGATCCTGGGGGCAAGACAGAAACAACTGCAAAACAGTAAGGCAAAAAAGTATGAGTAGAGACAAAAACAAAACAAAACAAAACAGAACTGACACCACCTTCTGCTCCTAGTAAGATTACAAAACAAATTTTAAAAACCTGAAAAAAATATGATGTTAAAAAAGCTAAGGCAATCAATTGGATGACATTACAAATATAGAACGAACTGAGCAAAAGTAGTTTAAAATACATATGTGTAGAGGATGTATACCTCTGGCCATTATGTAGTAATGGGTACTGTGTTTGCATTTTCTTTTAAAAGACTAAGAAAAAAAAAATCCACTGATTTTTCAGACATAGGATAACAAGCAAAAAGAGAATAATTCTTAAAGGAAGGGAAAGAATTGGGATAGGTACCCCAACATTTTGCTGAGGATGGTTTTCAGGATGCAATGCAGGCAGGGAAAATCAAGTAGAGCCTGTCTGTTCCCTGGAGGTAAAGATCAGAATTTGGAAAGATCAAACTGCTAGAATTTTGGGGGCAGCATAGTGGAGGGAAAAAAATGAGCTACATCAACGAGGCTTCAAAGATCTCCAGAAAGTTCCCCTTGAATTTTTGGCTACATACTAATCTACAAATATTAGTGAGAACTATCCAAGGCGAAAGGGAAGAATGACAATAACAAAAATGCTTCATGTGAAGTTCGACGCAGTGGCTCACACCTGTAATCCCAGCACTTTGGGAGACCAAAGCAGACGAATCACTTGAGTCCGAGAGTTCAGAACCAGCCTGGGCAACATGGTGAAACCCTGTCTCAACCAAAAATACAAAAATTAGCCCGACATGATGGTGCATGCCTGTACTTCCAGCTACTTGGGGGGCTGAGATGGGAGAATAGCTTGAGGCCGGGAGTTGGCAGTGAGCCTAGGAGACAGAGTGAGACTCTTTCTGGAAAAAAAAAAAAAAAAAAAAAAAAAAAAAAAGAAAAAAGGAAGGAAGGAAGGGAGGGAGGGAAGGGAGGAAAGAAAGAAGAAAGCCCGGCCCCATAGAAAACAGTACACCAAACAGTCCCTTTCATAATGCATTTGGATATTTAGATATTAGGTAAAGTCCTCAGAAGTCTATCACATTAGTTATTCAGGAAAAATCAAGCCAGAAAACAATGAAGCATTATCTTTGAAGTACTGAAAGGGGAGGAAAAACCTGGTTTTTTGTTTGTTTGTTTTACATTTTTATTTTATTTTATTTTATTTTATTTTATTTTTGAGACGGAGTCTCCCTCTGTCACCCAGGCTGGAGTGCAGTGGCATGATCTCCGCCCACTGCAAGCTCCACCTTATAGGTTCACGTGATTCTCCTTCCTCAGCCTCCCAAGTAGCTGGGATTACAGGAGCCTGCCACCATGCCCAGCTAATTTTTGTATGTTTGGTAGAGACAGGGTTTCACCAAGTTAGCCAAGATGGTCTCAATCTCTTGACCTCATGATCCACCCACCTTGGCCCCCCAAAGTGCTGTGATTACAGGCATGAGCCACCAAAATTGGAAAAATAAAAAATTGAAAGTGAAATAGTTTCCTGACAACAAAAGAAAATTAATCATCAGCAGGCCTATTCTAGTATGTTTATAAATTTGGTCAGGCAAGAAGTAAATAATACCACATAAAAATGTGGAGCTACAAATAAGAATGAAAGCTCCTTTCTTTCCACCAAGAAAGCTAAATATTTGGGTAAGATACGAGAAAACTATGAGTAAATTAATCATACTGTAAGCAGAAGTCAGGAAAAAAAATAAAGATAACAGAAATAAATGTAAAAGGAATACTGAAAAATGAGAAAAATTAATGAAAACTAAATCTGATTCTCTGAGTAAGAAAGTATAATTAATAAACCTATATTCAGAATAGTTGGAACAAAAAAAGATGACACAAATTACCAATGTCTAAAATAAAAGAGACCTCACAGGTAGTAAAAAATTACTAAGAGAATATTATAAACAGTTTGTAGTCGATAAATCTTACAACTTACAAGAAATAGATAAATTCCTTGAAAGAAGTAAACTACCAAATGCCACACAAAAAGAGATAAA